TTTTCTCCTTTGCAGGAGTGTATTACTGTCTGATAAGGTGTGACTCACTGTAGAATTTTCTACCTTCATTGAATCACTGCATTTCTCCCTGTTGTGTGTTCTCTTATCTTTAACAAGGCAAGACATGTAAGAGTAGGCTTTCTTACACTCATCACATCCTTAGGGTTTCTGTCCTGTATGAGTTCTATGATGAATAAAGAGCTTTGCCTTTGTAATGAAGGCTTCCCCACAGTCACTGCATTTATAAGGTTTCTCTCTAGAGTGAATTCTCTGGTGTCTAATGAGAACTGACTTCTGTGAACAGGATTGTCCACACTCAGTACATACAAAGGGTGTCTTTCCTGTGTGGTATCTCTGATGTGCTATGAGGCAGATCTTCTAGTTGAAGGCTTTATCACAGTCAGTACATCCGTAGGGTTTCTCTCCCATGTGAATTCGTTGATGTATCATAAGATTGCCCTTCTGAATGAACTCTTTTCTACATTCATTATATAAATAAAGTTTCTCTCCTGTATGAATTCGCATATGCACAATGAGTGGTGATTTCCTGGCAAAACTTTTCCCACATTCGGGGCACACATGGGGCTTATTTCCTGTATGTATTTTCTGATGCTGAGTAAGCTGAGATTTCCTGAAGAAGGCTTTCCCACATTTACCACATTCATGGAGTTTCTCTCTCTCGTGTACACTCTGATGTTTAGTGAGGTTGAACTTCTTGTAGAAGGTTTTCCCACAGGTATTACATTCATGGAGTTTCTTTCCTAAATGAATTTTCTTATGTTCATTGAGCTGAGACTTCTGAGGAAAGCTTCCCCACATTTAGCACATTCATGGGCTTTCTCTATTTTGTATGTTTGTTGGACTTTAAGGAATTGTGACTTGGTGCTGGTAGGTTTTTTATTTTCATAAGATTTAACTTTAGTATGAGTTTGCTCATGAGTATCACAGAGAAAGGATCTCCTATCTTCATTTAACTCAGCAAGCTCTTTTATGTTATATCTTCTGCTCTGGTTGGATAAACCTAGACATGGTTTCAAAATTTTTCCATGTAAATCAAACATGTCATGATTTGGCCTTAAAGGAAAATGATGTTTGCACCTCTGAACATTTCCAAGTGCATTCTGTTCATAACATTGTTTCACCCTCTTTGGCCTTTTTTTGGTTTTGCAATTACTGCTGCAGATGATCATTAGCTGTCTCAATTTCTGGATAGGCTTGATTGTGGATTTCATCTTCTAATGTCCACAGTGGCTCTCCTCATTCCAACATGGAGAGGACATCTGGCCTGCTGGCTTGAAACACCACTGACACCAGGCTGCTGTAGTTCTCCAGCATCATGTCCTGGTACAGGTCCTTCTGAGCAGGGCCCAGGTACTACCACTCCTCCCAGATGAACCTCACAGCCACATCCTCCAGCGATAGTGACTCCTGGGCCTTTGTCATTTTCCTGTACTTCAGGAACATCCAATAACTGAGATGCTCTGTCTTTAGGATCTTCTGAATCTGCCTTAAATTTTTACTTAGAAATCTGCGTCTTTGGTCAAGGGTATCCCAAGAAATGATGATATATACATCCAGGAAATGTCACTTGAACGTTCTTGCTCCAGGGAGCAGGACTTGCTTCCCCTGTGAACCCAGCAAGATCTACAGGTGGCTAGGACGAATTCTAATTTGTACTTTTTTGTGGAGAGGCTGAAGAAGGCACAAATGATGAGTTATTCAGATGCTGATCTCGAAGTGTGTGAAGTTCTCCAATCAATTTGTCCTTTTTGTTTCTTTTCCTGTAGCACTCTCATTTTGCTAAAAAGTTGGACTTTCTCATCAGGTAAATGTTCAAAAACTGATGGATTCCTGCTCTGGGAAACCTCCCTAGTTAACGAAAGACTTTCCACCTGTCTTCCGTTGTCAGGAACTGCTGGAGGCTGAGAATCATGAAGTTGATTATGAAAACGCTGAATTAAATCATTCAATTCTTCATTTAGTTCAGATGTGATACTGACTCCCAATAAACTACCTGTGGTTTCTGCAACAACAGAATCATCCATTACAGCAACAGCTTGCTCTGCTTTATGTTGCAGAGCTAGAAGAGCAGCCTGTTGCCCCTGTGGAGCTCGAAGCTGCTCCTGTTGTAACATCCTTTTTAACAAATCATGTTGTTTCTTCAAATTTTCTATCTCTTCCATAGGCTCCTGTTCAGGATCTCTGGCTGTGGTATCTGAAGCCTCAGACTGCACATCTATGTTTAGTGATGTGCTCTCAGCTACAGAACCAGATCCCACAGCTGAATCTATAGCCCGAACATCCTCCTCCTCATTTTCTCTAGCAAGGATTTTTTGGAGAAATTTCATGTATGATTTTTCTTGTTCTTTAAGGTGATCTATTAGATGAGTAAGATGCTCAACATTAGCAGATCTTTCATTTTTCTTTATAAGATCTTCTTGCATGGAACTGGCTTTAGTAATATAGTCACAAATTTGAACAAGCCTGCTTACAATCTGGCTGCTCTCCATTGCAGGCTCTCCTCTCCCATCTTCTTCAGAGACTTGGCAATTTTGCAACAGGTCATTACTTAATGCAGAGGCAAACAACTCTTTACATTGTGCTGACCCAATCATTTCTCTCTTCTGAAGACTTGTAACAGCATCTTTGCTCTTTCTTTTTTTTTCTCTTGTTAGTATTAATCTGCGTAGGCAAAAAGTTGAAGGGCTTTCGGTTTTCACTAGGCTGATATTTGTTGTTAGCAGCTGTTGCTCTTCCTTGAGAATCACTTCCAATGTTTCTCTGATCTAAATCACTGAAGTTTATCTGCTGTTTTAAGTTTCTCTAATTCTGCCTGCTCTGGGACAGACATCTGAGTCATCTGTCTACTGTGTGGAAACGTATGTGGAGTTTTTGTTCTTCGCCTTCCAACTCCTGGTGATGATTCCAGAGAAATATCATTAGTTACTCTTTTATCATTTTCTACACTGAACTTTTTCTTATTCTTTTCTGATGATCTATTTGTCTTCTTCTGTTGGCCACCCCAATCCATATTGTTGAGTCGGTCATCAACACTCTCATTGCTCCAGTTTGGTAAATCTTGATCATTCATGCCTTCTCCAAAAGGTCCATCTCCTGCGGCCATAGTGGCTTTTAACAATTTTCTTTTCAGAAACTAGTTTTTGCACCTCACAAGCAACTCCTTTCCTGCTGCACACTTCAAAGCTGTTGTCTGCTAATGATTTTTAAAAATTCAGTAAACTATTAATGAAGTAGCCCCTCCTGCCACCAGCAGCGGTCGGACTTGAGAGACCGCAGTGGAGGTTCACAAAGTTGTGGACTACCTAGAGCCCAATGGCCCCATTTCTACTTTAGCTTCTTGGCGTCAACCGCCGCAGACACCATCATCTTAGGATCTCATTGTGGTGGGAGAAAATGAGAGGGGGGACTCACAGATGGATTCTTGATGTCATGGCTCCACACACCCCCTCTAGGACTGGAAGAAATCCTGAACCAAGCAAGGCTAAAGTTTTTGCATCTAGACAAATAAGAGCTTAGAAGAGAAATTAAGTCCAATTATGCAAAAATAAAGTATCAATTGATATAACCCAATTTTAAAGCCTGATTAGAATTCATTCTACATAAGGATCCATGATGCTTTACAGTATATGAAAGACCTTGCTCCTTTATTTTAAAAGCTTAATTAATATAAAAATCTTAAGTATTGTTATTACTTCTGTAATCATTTTAAACATGAGAAAATGGAAGCAAATAAAGGTGAGACCATATTCAAGCCATAGCAGATAGGTCCTTAAACATATTTGCTGAATAAACAAATGGATGGATAGATTCTTGGGTGCTTGAGTGTCTCTTACACAGTTTTACTCTTAATAGAGGCCTCTTCTGAGAGATGCTTGTTCTTACATTCCTTTATTTCACCTAAAACAGCTACTTCTGTTGCCAGCCACAGCAGCCCATTTTCATTTCTTATCCCCAAACCCCTCCATTTTTATTATTCCTAACCTCTCTTTTAGCCAAGATGTTTGGAATATTTTTCCTCTTTCATGCACATTTTTAACAACTGTTTTTTAAGCTTATGTTTAATTGTCAGCTTCCCCTAGGTGATTTTTAGAAGCAGGGAGGATAGGTTATAAATCAATATGAGCAAACACTTTGCTATCTCATTCTGAAAAAATTATAATTAAAATTCACGGTAGAAAGAATCTCTAAAGTGGCAAGTTGCCTTTCTAAGATATTACCATGTCATATTTTAGATTTATTGTCAGCAACTAATCTACATTATTAAATAAAAATCAGCTCATTGGAGTTACTGAATAATTACTGTGTTGGATAAGTAGTACTTCTGCAATATTATTAGTTTTATCACGTATATTAAGTTGCTTTTAGAAAGTAGCCTCAGCATTACTTGAAAAAAGATGGAATATATTTTATTTCTCACAAATTCAACAAATATTTAATGAAAACAGTGCCACAAATACAGTAAATCTTCATTGGATGTGTCTCAGTTACTTTTCTCATTGCTGAGACAAAATACCCAACACACACAAGTTAAGGGAGGAAAGGTTTATTTAGCTCACAGTTTGTAGAGGCTTCAGTTCGTTTCAGCTGGGTCCAAGGTAGGGTGGCATGGCAGAGGGGCATCACAGAGGAGAAATGGTCTATGGCAATCAGGCAGGTGAGAACAAGCAAGGGACAAGACAAACCTCTTTCTATCCCTTATATTGTATCCAGCCTACCAGGATTAGGGCAGTACCAAACCAATCAGTGGACTGATTTAGCAATCACCCACGCTTAATCCCAGCACCCTTAATCCTAGCATTGCACTATGAATCAACCATACACTCTAGATTCAGCCACCTCTGAAAAAGCCCCACCTATGACTGTGTGAGGCTTTGGGGGAACATCTAGACACAAACCATAACAGAATGACTTTAAAAATTTAAAGGCAATGCATGATAGATAAGATTTATACCTTAACAGACGCTTATTTTTTTCTTAAGGCATCATGACAGAGAAGCTTTTCCCAAAGATTATGATATAGAGGGTCCTGAGAAAGTGAAAAAACTGTGCAATTCAACATATTGGAGACTCGGAACTGATGAACCTCCAGTAAGTAGTTGCTGATAAACACTAGTGTCTTTGTCATAATGAAACATGAAAAAGTAAGGGCAGGAGCATATTTTCAGCACCACAATCCTTGTTAGCTAAGTTAGTTTCTTAGAAAGATTACCCAGGCACTCCATGTATCAGCAAACTTACCCATGATGCATCTATTTCATGTGGCTATTGGGAGAATTAAATAAAGCAAGTGCTTAATATAGTGTCTGGCTATATTACTTAGCTTTTTGTTAAATGTTATTGTTTGGATCTGTGTCTCCCAAAAGGCTCATTGGGTTGAAGCCTTGATTGCTGATGGCTTTTTGGGGAGTGATGGAATCATGAATCCTCTGATTTCATCAGTGGAGGACCACTGACGAGATCATAATTTGATGACATTATTGGGATGTGATGGAAACACAAGAAAGAGCCTGTGTGAAGGGGGTGTGACCTTTGGGAACTATTTAGTTAATGGCCTCTTCCTCTCTGGCTCTTTCCCTTCCTGTCTGCTTCCTGGCTGATATGATGTGAGCAGCTTTCCTTTGCCACAACCTTCTTTTTTGTTGTTGTTATTCTATTTTTAAAAATTAATTTTATTGGTACATTTAAGGTATACAATGTAATGAAATTCATCATTGGAAATTTGCACCTTTACATAATTCATCTTGGTTCTCATTTTTTTCCCATTCCCCTGCCCTCCCTTCAACCCCTCCACCATTCCCTGTATACAAAGACTTTGTTTTCATTTTCTCATATTAATTCCATTCCCTTCTTTCTTTTCCCCTACTCTTCACACTTCCCCTTTGCACCTTTTCTTCCTATTTCACATTATTATTCCTTTTAGTCCTTATTTACACTTTCAGTTTCTCACACTAGAGAAACTATTCATTATTTAAACATATGTGTCCTATTTATTTCACTTAAGAGTATCGCCTCAATGTGCATCCATTTAGCTACAAATGTCTAGTTTCTCCTTCTTTATGGCTGAGGAATACTGCATTTTAGAAAAAACCCCCACATTTTCTTCATCCAGTCTCCAGTTGATGGGCAATTGGGTTGCTTCCAAGTTTTAGCTATTACAAACTGTGCTGCTATGAACATGGGTGCACATATATCTCTGTGGTATGATTCTTTTAATCCTTTGGGGAAGATACCCAGCAGGGGAATAGTTGGGTCAAATGGGACTTCCAATCCTAGTTCTTTGAAATATCTCCATACTGATTTCCACAGTGGTTGCACCAGTCTACACTGCCACCAGCAGTGGAGCAGGGTTCCTCTTTCCCCACAGCTCTGCCAGGATTTGTTATTGGTTGATTTCGTGATAGCA